CTCAACATATGCTCCAAATCTCATCCTATTTCAGCATATCTAGGCGGGGATCGGTTGCGGATTGGGGAAGGGGCCTTAAGTGATAATGATGAAAGCGGAAAAAATTCAGAAGTAGTGCCGTAATTTCTATTAATCATTCTTATTGTTTTTCTCGAATTGTTTATGTTGTTGACTTTAATTCAGATTTAATATTAAATATAAACATAATCAACACACAGATATTTCTTTTAATTTCACAATTTAATTGTAAACGGAATAAGTTTTAGAAATCTGCGTGACCACGACCAAAGTTACTCGGTCACGGTCACGTCACGGTCACGAGCTCTCTGGTCATGGTCACGGTCACGAAGATTTTCCCAAATTGGTCGCGGTCACGGTCACGCGTGACCGTGACCGTGACCGTGACCATTTTGCAGGTCTCTAGTCTTCATATTTGGACAAATTTGAAGATTGCATGTGCTAGGATTGAGATCGAATAATCTGTGAAACAGCTCACAAACAGGATGGAAAGGAACAGAGAATATCAAATGAGAGAGAATTTCAAAATAATATTACAAGTAAAAGAGAGCATGTGTTAGCTGGCCTTAGAAGTATTAGTCCCCGAAAAAGTAAGTATCTACAGGTGAAAAACATCTCTGACGTCAGTTACCGACCTGAACAGTAAATAAGCCTTGCATGGATGTCCCAATTTAAGCACTGCTCGATGTCCTATTTTAAATATCATTCTAACACTTCTTTACATTGATAGAGAGTTTCATTATCGAAAATGAAAATATTTCAGAAAATAGTTGCTGGAGTAAGAGACTGAATAAGCATTAAAATAAGGAGGGTGAGAGTGTGGTTCTCACACCCTCACCCTTAAATACAGAATTATTTTTGACACCACTAGCAGCAATTATTATCGATGAACTGATACATAAAGGAAAAGAAGATGCTATTTTAATCAAATAAAAAATCTGGGCGCCCTTTTACTCGTAGAAGCTAAGCATATCTTTAAACCAGCAATTAGCATAATTGTAGATTTATTAGAAAGTGATAATGATCAAATGAGATATAGAGTTCAACGAGTTTTTCAACATTCAGAACGAGATGTTAAAGAACCGAGTAAAAGAGCATCGGTTATATGAGAACAAACATCAATAAAAATTCTACAAAATATCTCGATAAAGGAAAATCTTCCAAGAGTCCGAGCTTATCTAAATAGTTTCTACTACGACTTACTCTGGGATGATCCTACACTATTTCAGAACTTACATGAAACTATAACAAAACTGAAAGAAAAACATTCTGCAGGTGAACGAAGAATGTTTTATTTTAATAAGATTAAGTTTATAAATAATGATATATGGAAAATAGTAATGCAATCATTAGAATCAACGTCATATCCATCGTATGCAGAAGAATTATTTCACCCAATAATAGTGTTAACAGAGCATGATCAAATTACACAACATAATTGAACCGAATTTGCAAGAGTACTATTAGTTACAGACACAAGTCAATTTAAAGATAAATTATATTATTGATGAAATATATTTTGAAATTCTTCAATCAAAACTAATCAGTGAAATAAGTGTCAGAGTTGAAGATCTTTTTCAAATTACTTATAATGAAATAAAAAATATAGGTCGTTGTAACTTTTATGCTTCACTAAATTTAAATCAAACCATATTAAATATATTAAATAATATTCTAATAAATATTGTTATGATGGAAAACTTAATCAAATAGTTGCTACAAGAGGGTGGGTGTGTGGGTGTGAGTGTGGGTGGGTGTTGGTGTGCGTGTGGAATGTGGGTATGGGTGTGGGTGGGTGTGAGTGTGGGTGGGTGTTGGTGTGCGTGTGGAATGTGGGTGTGGGTGTGGGTGGGTGTGGATGTGGCTGAATAGACGACTAATACCCACACCCACACCCACACCCCACACCCCACACCCACACCCCACACCCCACACCCACACTCACGCCCTTTCATCATTGTAGTTGTGCTCGAATACCTTTCGGTCACAGTTTACGATCACCAAATATTGGCAAAATTTGGAAAAAGAATACCCAAACCACCATCATTAGTAAAAAGCATTGATGATTTTGTGGCGAATCTGAAGAGTCGTTTTTCATATCATGTTTGGTCTAGCTATATCGACTATACTCAATTTCATCTAGCTGGTGGTGCAGTTGTCGTTTGCATGCTACGCAATGTTCATCAACAAATCACATCTGATCTTGATTTTTTCTACGTTGGCAACAGTCAAACGAATTTTATTGATTCATTAGTAAAATACTTATATTACACATTACTTACCATAAGATGATCATTTTTTCGATACCAAAACACACTTTATAAAAAGCTTTCAAAATGTCAACTCTATCCAAGTTTTACACTTACTTTTTCAAGTGAAACCAGATTGGCATTCTATGTCACAGTATTTTGCTTCAAGACTTGCATCAATATTAAAACATAACCAGAGCTGTCAAATAAATAACTATTTATTTCTGTCAAACTCAACATGTTCGATGAAAATAAATACCAGTTCTTGTCTACATGACATTCACCATAATTACGAACTACCATTCTGAGTAGTCTTTAACGCATGAATTATTATGTACATACAAGGAGAAGAAGGAAAAATATATCGAAAATATTAATTTCCTTTAAATTATCAACAATTGAAAATACTACTAAATCACATGAACATTAGATTATGATGCAAATTGAATAGTAAAAATACAACATGTCTTTTGAGAATGGACCAAATCACAAAACCTTCAGTTTCTCTACACTTCGACTCTAACTTTTCAATTTTCCTTTCTAGACTTCTTCCATAGATCTCCTAAAATCAATACTTTTCTTTCAAAACTTTTCATATTTGATATATTCTCTTGCATCTTTACATTTTCGTACATGAATTGAAATTCTATATGTCTATATATGTCCAAACATTAGTTTTCAATGATTTTAGAGTACCATGGAAGAAAATATCTCTAGCCAATATTTAGTACGACGAACTACATTGGCATTAAATCATGTTTATCAGTTCGAAGTGACCTTGGCTTCCACCATTGACGACATATTACTCAATACTAATGAGCCACGTTGTATTACTTTTCAATTCATCTTTCATCCTAACTTCTTCTCTATTCAAAACTATTTGATGGCATACGATCTTGATGTTGGACAGTTGTGTTACAATGGCGATCGAGTACTGGCCACATGGGCAGCTATTCATGCATTTTGCACCGGAACATTCTTATGTTATTGTCTATCAACAGATATTGAAAAACTCGGACGAATGGCATTGTGTCTTTCAAAATACATTCGTTGAGGATTCTCTTTATTATATTCTCATGAATTTCCAATGCATCAGTTTTCCTCATTATGTTCTGGCTCCTGTAACAACCCAAATTTGATACGTTATTCATCTACGAATTATCAATTTGGTCAGAACAACGACCATTTTGAAATACAAAAACGATTCGTTCAATTTTTCCTCGATCAATCATTCATTTCATTGTAGGAGTAAAATCTGATGTGAAAAACACCTAACACACTGTTTAAGCTCGTTATTTGATTCAAATACATATTCTGCTTTTAAAAATAAAACGTTTTTCTTAATCGCATGGATGATTTTGTTTTTGGCATTGAGCATATGCATCGGAGCATAATTAGTGAGCATTCAGATCAGTAGATTTTTTGTTCATAACCATGTAGTATTCATCAGCCTATTCTTCTATCAATATTTCCGCGCGTGATCAATCACAAACTATTTCTCTTTTCACTACTTTTTTCTTCATCACTGTTAATATTATTCACGTAAATGCGACCCCCCTCGAAATGTAATTGGTGCGAAACAGAAATTCTCAAATCATCAACCATAGAAAATCAACAATCATATTGTTGTTTACTTTGTAAACATTATCACACCATCGACAATCATCTGACTCGTCTACTAACTATGATGAAGAATCACAAATTACATGCAATTGTTGATGTTGAATGCAATAACTTATTCAAATTGCTCTTCAACAATGATGTATGCATGTATCAGCATCGCCGAGATGATATTGGTTTTGAACTTGCATGTCTTTGCGACACTGTCATTATCTGAACGAAATCCCGTCAACTTTCCTCTCTTCAAAGAAATCTGTCAACATCTAGAGACACTTCTTCATTTTGTGCGTACTACAACCAGATAAATCTTCTGTTACACTCACACGATATGTACGAAGACAAAACCACTATTGAACACTGCTATCGCTCTAGTTTCGATTTTTTTCCACATCTATTCCAGTCAATATATAAGAACACACTATATTTGTTTTCGCTGAGGCAGAGCTCTGCTTTATTGAGATTTCAATATATACAACAAAACATAATCTTCAAATCAACCCAATACTGTCCCATGACAAATAAATGATTTCTAATTTCAGTCTAGGGATGAGTGAATCGGAAAGCGATGAACGTTACTTGTTAAATATCTGTCAAAAATCCCATAGATTATGTCAAATTATAGCATATTCGATTTTTTGTGAAGAAAATTTTTATAACCTCCTGGTAAAATTTCTCAAAGAAAAATATACCAAAGGATGCGTCGTAATCAGGGCTACAACATATCAAATATTCAGCCTGGAATCTCTTACTTTGATAATAAATTAACCCAGAAAACAACAAATAGATGACCGCGATTACGTCGTTATTTTTTCAAATTTGATCATTGTTCGACTAAAAAATGATATTCAATAAATAATAGACATAGGCTGTTTTGTAGAGAAAAATATTCTCCATCTTTTAAGGTATTCCGCGCCTCAAAGCACCAAACGATGGATGAGAAGGATCAAAAAAGTCGATTTTTAGAACATGATCCAAAAATTTGAAAAATTGTGACCCTCGGCAATTTACATAGACAGATCAGCATGGGCTAATATTTCGGTTTTCATAAAAACTCTTTACGCTCTTTCAAATGAGATATTCCAATTTAAAATCTAAAATTTTTCTGCAGCCGAGATGGGCGGTATTCTGGCGGACCCGCTCTTAAATACAATTAATGTTATAAAATCAATAATATCTGAAAATGATCAAGAAAATTTAACTACAATAAATCAAAACAAACTTCGATCACGTACAACTGAATTTTATTATGTTGCACAACGAATATTTCGTAATGCAATAAGAAATCCAGCAGTAGCAGCTTCTCAAACAATTATTTGTACTATATTAGCTATTCTTACTGGATTATTATTTAATAATATGAAAACAACAACTCATTCAAGTATATCAGATCATCTTGGTGCAATTTTTTTTATTTCTACACATCAAACATTTTGTACAGGAGGTGCTTTAGAAGCATTAATTAAAGAACGATTACTTTCTAGTCATGCAAAATATATTATTATGAAATATATATATATAATCTTGTATAAAACTATGTACATTAGGAAAATGCTAGTGATTATTATCGAACATCAACATTTTTTCTAGCAAAAATTCTTTGTGATTTATTTTCAATGCGTTTTATACCTTCATTTATCTTTTCTATAATTGCTTATCCTTTAACTGGTTTTCAACGTTCAATTAATCGATTTCTTATTTTCTGTCTCACTATATTTATCAATTCAATATTTGGTTCGGCTGTATGTTTCTTTATTCCAGCTTGTATTTCTGTATCTGGTATTTAAAAAAAAAAAGAATTTTTTTTTGTTTTTTTATCATATATTATTAAATATTTTTAATTTTTAGCTGTAGCTCTTACTGCAGTTATACTTTGTTTTACAATGATGATGGTTCTTAGTGGTTTTCTTGTTGATTTAGAAAATATGTTTACTTGTCTTAAATGGACTAAATATATTAGTGGTATTCGTTATTGTTCAAATATATTAACTATTAATGAATTTAGAAATTTAACATTTTGTTTATCTAATAATACTCATATATGTCCAATGATAGATGAACAAGTATTAACAGAACATAATATTCCACATAATACAAATTGGAATATGTGGAAAAATTTACATTTTATATCTATTATGGCTCTAGTATTTTTTTATTATGGCTTATATTCGACTGCTACAAATAAAAACAATTAAATACAATAGAATTTTCATTTCTTTTTTTTCAGTACTATAAATCTATGGCAATTTTGAATCTAATTTTCCATTTTTGCTTATTCAGAAAAGTGTTTCTTTGCCTGTACACTGTAAATTTTTTTGAAATTCTACTTTTTGAAAAATCGATCTCAAATAAGCTGAAGCATTTTTAAAGTTTTATGACTTATTCATTGAATTTTGAATAATTCGAAAATGCTTGATTTTCCAATATATAGAAATTCAACTTGATTTTCTAAAAAAATGATTTTCAAATGAATTAGAAAATCAATATAAATTCTAGAGAAAGTCAAAAATGAAAGCTACTTTCTGGAAAATCATTTGAACAATGACTGCTATAGAGTCATTGTTCATACATGTATATAAGTCAGCCGATAGTGTCGTGTATTCATTATTTTCTTCGGCAGCCGTAGCGAGTAGATAAGTTATATATTTTTTTATTTAGAGTTAGTATTCAAGTTTTAGATTTGAACAGAGCACTATGATTTGATTTTATTTATTGTTCTTATGCATTAATGTTCGATAATATTTATTATTTTGAATCATTAATGATCAATGTTTTTACTTATTATTTTGATGCATTAGTTATCAATGATATTTATTTATTAGATACATTAATGATCAATGATATTTATTTATTATTTGATGCATTAATGTTCAATGTTATTTATTATTTTGATGCATTAGTGACAATGATATTTATTTATTTATTTATTATTCGATGCATTAATGTTCAACGATATTTATTATTTTGATTCATTAATGATCAATGATTTTTATTTATTATTTTGATGCATTAGTTATCAATGATATTTATTTATTATTTGATACATTAATGATCAATGTTATTCATTTATTATTTTGATACATTAATGATCAATGATATTTATTTATTTATTTATTATTCGATGCATTAATGTTCAATGATATTTATTATTTTGATTCATTAATGATCAATGATTTTTATTTATAATTTTGATGCATTAGTTATCAATGATATTTTTTTTCATTATTTTGATGCACTAATGACCAATGATATTTAGTAATTATTTTGATGCATTAATGATCAATCATGTTTATTTATTTCGATGCATTAGTTACAACGATATTTATTTATTATTTGATACATTAATGATCAATGATGTTTATTTCTTATTTAGATGCATTAATTATAAATGATATATTATTAATATGAAATAGAAAATTAAAACATACTTCCTTATGATATGAAAATTCAATTCGATTTTCCAGTTTTTAAAAGATACTCAAATTGCTATATCGAATCCGAAATTCTAGGAATGCCTATATGAATTTACTCTCGATTTTCTAATTAGAAAATCAAAGTTCATATTTTTAATGCTTCGAATATCTTATTTTCAAGAATTTAAAAATTCATCGGCGAATTCATATAGGCATTCCTAGAATATCCTCGATTAAACTCTATAACTCATTTTCTAGTTTACAGTGTAGATCATTGTGCGAACTCAAGTTTACATATACGTTTCGATCATGTGAAAGAAATTCATATTTGATTCTCAAATATATGTGATGCAGCATGAACTCGACCTTATTATCATATTAGCTTTCTGAGACATTCTGACAAAATAACATTTAAAGTGTTAATAGAAAGATAAATGTTGAAAATACAATTCATATAAAATGAATATCTATTGATATTCATAGTACAAAGACTAGTTCGAATTTTCGATAAATGAAAGTTTTAAAGTATAAACTGAATATAAACTTTGATTGAATATAATTCAAATCTAGGCAAATATCTTAATAAATAAACAAATAGAAAATTGAATTTTATGTATTAATTATTAAGAAAATTCAAAATAATGAATTCAGTGCAATTCAAACACTTTGTGTTGTTTTTCATTTAAGACCAAGGGCTACAGCTCCAAGCCAAAAAACATGAGATATTAATGCTTTTGTTGTTCGTATTAATCCAAGACGATATGGTCTTTGATCATTATTATTCTGTGCATTATGACGTAGAATCTCTTCAGCCGATGGATCCGGTTTACTCAATGACATCATCGTTGTTTCCGATTGTTCATTATTATCAGTTTTTTCGAGAACAAAATCAATATATAGTCCAAAATGATCACTTGGAAATAGATAATTGTCAGCTTTAATAGGTTCATTGGCCCACATATTACATGGTGTTATGGCAAATGCTGGGAATCCATGAGAAAAAAGAATTCGATCGAGTCGCATTTGTCTACATGCTCCAGGTATATAATAAGGAATTAAAGTATTTTTCAATGCATCAAATGTATAACCAATGTTTTTATCATTAAATGGATATTTATCAGAAAAATGTGTTTGTGCCCATGCATCAATCAATTTATTATCAATAACAATTGCATCTTCAAATTCATAATAAAGATTAAGATCACCCATAATAATAAATGGATGATTAAGTGGTTCTAATATATCAATAACGTCACGTATTTGTTGTGCTCGTAATTGAGCATTCTGTACTTTTTTGTATGGAGTTGCATGATGAGCACATATATATACACAAGTTTCTATAGTACTACCAAGTTGAACTTTTCCAACAATAGCTTCACGTTTTCTACCTGTTACAGATATGGCAAATACTTCAATGAATGGTAATTTACTTAAAATGACGCATCCATGAGGAAAAAGAGGATTAGTATTATCATTATTATTTTCATCAAATATGTCTGTTATAAAATAATTTTCACGAATAAATGAACATTCTTTTAGCCGTTGTAGTGCAGTAATAGTAACTTCATTTAAACCAATTATAGTGGAATTGAGATTAATGATACCATTACAAAGCCATTCATATCTTTCAGCACTTCGAATAGTCATTTCAACAAACCATGGAAAACAATCTGCAAGTATATTGAATGTAGCTATTCGAATTGGTTCCTTAACTTTTGGCACTGTATTTTCTACATTTGTAGCAGTATTAACTGATGATCTGGATTCTAATTCGGAATGAAATAATTTAGTGACGATAGCCCATTTTGTATCATCCCAACGATAACTGTATAATTCACGTCGAGACATTCAGATATTTGTTTAGTTAAAAATTTATCTTTGTTTCTATAAATGAGGAAATAAAATAAGAGAGTAGCCTTTTTAACATATTAACTTCTAATAAAATTAAATAAACGATATTCGAACCTAAAAATTAGATAGTATTGCGTCACATAGAGCTCAATAAATATTATTTTTATCTTGAATAGATTTTATCTCGATTTTAATCTCTGATGATAATAGATAAAAATAAAAATGATAGCAATGAAAATACATAGATCAAGTCTCATATTCAAAGGGATTTTCCACTCATACTTAAATGATTCTATTGAATTTTCAATGCATAAGTTAAAATGTCCACAATGCGAAATTATAGCAATTCTTTTAGTTATAGTTGGTGAGAACTCATAAAATTCTACAAGAATGTGTATGTCATAAATTTTCAAGCACTAGTATTAGAAGAAGAACGTAATGAAAGTAAGTTTAAAAAATTGAAAATCCTTATTAAAGGCCAATTGCATCAAAAGCTTCAAGTTTCGTTCGTTTCGATATTTTTCACTTATTTTAGGATCAGGAAAAAAGTTGAGTAGACTTTTCAAAAATATAGCTTCATTGTTGAGAAATTCACTTGTTTAGATACCAACAGTAAAATTGTCTAAAACTGGACCCACATTCGGAAGTTTCGACTATGGAAAATTTTATTCATAATTAAAACATACATACTATTCAAAATTAAGACAAAAACACCATCGAATTATTTAACTATGACGAAAAGAAATTTCTACCAAAATTTAACCTCTACTTCCCTTCAGTGTTCTTTCGACATAGTTCTACCTGTGGTCTTTCGGGTCGAGTTTTGGTAGGAAATTATTTTTCATGATAATGAAACAATTTGATGAAAGTTTTTGTGCTAATTTCGAAAAGTATGTATCTTTTGGTTAGAAATAAAATTTTTGATGGTCAAAATCCATGAATATGAACTTTTTTTCAGGCGATTTTACTGCTGCTATTTAAACGCAAATATCTCAAGAACGAAACTATATTTTCTAAAACACGAGATGCACCCTTCCTCCGCTCCATCTCTATCATGATAAATACCTTAACAATTTCGCCCTTCTCGCACAGGCACGACAGACAAAAGATTTTCAAATTTTTTTTGAACTAACTTTTTCATGTTTCTCTTGCACTAGTAATGCTTTTGGAATACAGGACATATGTATTCTTGTAGAACTTGATGCGGCAGTCTATCCACTCATAGCGGAAAAAAAAATTTGTTATAATTTAGCATTGCTAGTACCTTACTTGATCATCATAGAAGACACATGTTACGTGTAAAACAATAAGAAGAAATTTAATTTTTGATAATATAGAAGCAAAAGGAAATAAAGTGAATTATTCTTACAACACGATGATCTTAGAAATATGTCACAATAAACTCTTCAGTTAAATGACAAATAGACAATATTTCTATTCTTTGTGCAATAACTACATATGTTGACACTTATTGTGTTCTGTTTTCTTTTTATAAAAATAGACTCGTATGAGTCAGCATATAGAAGAATGAATAAAAAATGAAAATCTATAGATGTCGCACAATGAGAAACGTCATGTACAAAACGAAACAACCATATTACTTCATTTCGTACAATCACTATCAATGTTATTTCATAGGATGTTTTAACATGGATTGTATTAATTAATATGTAAAGATTGATTTTTCATTAGTAATTAATATATAGCTCTCGTGTACCGGCTAGGGGTCGGCAGTTACCGTTCCCAGACCGTTGCCCGGTAACGGTAACGGTAACGGTTCACACGGAAGAAGTTACCAGTTACCTGGGTAACGGTAACGGTTCCGTTACCAGTTCCCGGGTAACTGGAAACGGTTCCGTTAACCAGTTCCCGGGTAACTGGAAACGGTTCCGTTAACCAGTTACCCGGGAACGGTAACGGCCAGTTACCAGTTACCCGAGAACGGGGTAACGGTAGTACTATTGCAGGACACCTATCGGTCCTCAAGTCCTACTATTGGCGGATACCCTTCGGTCCTCAAGTCCTACTATTGGGGGACACCCGTAGGTCCTCAAGTCCTACTATTGGGGGATACCTTTAGGTCCTCAATGGGGGTACACAAGCTCAACTCAAGCTCACAAATAATGAGCCGTTGAAAAAGCTCACTGAGACGAACTGAACTATTCGAACAGTTCATTTTAGCGAACTGAACGTTCTCAACAGTTCGTTTTAAATGAGCTGAACTGTTCGAACAGCTCATTTGAACGAACCGAACTATTTGTAGGGTACCCATAGGTCCCCAAGGGCTACCCTATAGGGGTACTCATAGGTCATCCAGGGCTATCCTATAAGGGACTCATAGCTTCGCAAGGGCTATTCATTAGGGGTACCCATGGGCCCGCAAGTCTTACAGGTGGATGCCCTAACGTCCTCAAGTCCTACTGTACGGCGGTACCCTTGGCTCCTCAAGTCCTACCATACGGGGTACTCTTGCGTTCTCAAGCCTGACTACTGGAAGGTACCCAAGGGGGTTCACATTTTTTGCCCCTATTGCGAGGACAAGTGATGGGCATGTTCGGGCCAAGCATAGGATTATCGTGGATGGTCTATCGATTGATGGGTATATGTAGGGGTCTCCACCAATCCCATCACTGAGAAACAGAATCCCGCTATTTGATAGGTCCAAAAATAGACCAATCAGATTTCAGGAGCCTTTTTTTCTCTGATTGTCCTGACAAGGCATAGCCATGTTCGGGCCAATCATAGGGTTATCGAGGATGCTCTGTCGATTCATGGGTATATGTGTGGGTCCCCACCAATCCCATCACTGGGAAATAGAATCCTGCTATTTGATTGGTCCAAAAATAGACCAATCAGATTTTAGGAGCCCTTTTTCCTCCTATTGTAAGGACAACACATGGCCATGTTCTGGCCAATCATAGGGTTATCGAGGATGCTCTATCAATTGATGGGTATATGTATGGGCACCTACTCAGTTCAATACGGCGAAAATACTGCTTTGGCATTTGGCCTCAAGGACCCAAGGGTATCCCTCAATAATAGGACTTGAGGGTCAAAAGGTACCCCCTAATAAGAGGAGTTGAGGACACAAGGGTACCCTCCAATAATAGGACCTGAGCGCCCAAGGGTACCCCCAATAATAGGACTTGAAGACCCAAGGGTATCCTTCAATAATAGGACTTGAGGACGCAAGGGTATCTCCCAATAATAGGACTTGAGGGTCAAAGGGTACCCCCTAATAATAGGACTTGAGGACCCAAGAGTACTCCCCATTAATAGGACTTGAGGACCTAAGGGTGTCTCCCAATAGTAGCACTTGAGGACCTAAAGGTATCCCCAATAGTAGGACTTGAGGACCTAAGAGTGTCCCCCAATAGTACGACTTTAGGATCTAAAGGTGGTCCCAATTGTAGTACCGGCTACCAACCTTCATTATAACATCAAGATATAATGGTATATAGGTTATATAGAAAGTGCGACCATAGACAAGACTAAAAGATATTTTGGTAAATCTGTTGAGATCAAACTATTCAAACCTTATACTATAGAAAATAAATGTCCTATCTTCTATATTGAATGTGTTTGTCAACAGAAGACTTATATATTCAATTCTTTATCTATAAAAACGTAAATATGATTCAGTATTTGCCACGTGTTTATGTATTCATGTATGTGATTTATGATGAGTCACATATTGTTAGTTTTATCTTTTTTTTAATTCCCTCTACTGAAAGGAGAGTCATACGCAGAATGAGGTAATTGCGTTCGTTCGTCCACATGTGTGTGTTCGTTTTCTATGAAATGACAGAGTATATGTCACTCCATATATGATGTAATGTATTTCTGTACGAAAACTTGGCCAAAGTCAAACAAGTGTGGAGAATCCGAATCTGAGATTAGTTTCAATATTACTGGTTAATAAAATAATTAATTAATTAATTACTAATAGTATTGAATTTGAGAAAAAACTTCACCGAAGTCAGTCAAGAGAGAAGAATCCGAGTCCGAGGTTAGTTTTAGTATTAATAAATAGTTCCTAGGTTGAAGGGAGGATGATACTAAAAAAGCTTAAATAAGTTTGATTGCTTGGATACTTGTTTGCATGCATGTATGAGATATATTCGCTTCCACATAGAACCATAATAAGTAAAAAAAGCTGTTAGCACTGCGTAATTATACAGTCAGATATTTTCGTCATCCAGCTCTTATGCAATAAAACTCTTGTGGGTCGATATGTCATTCAATTAGGTTTTTTTTGGGCTTACAAAAGGGATTTCACAAAGTTCATCCCTTGAACAGCATTCCGGAGCTTGCTGCATGTATTCTGGTGTAGTTTTGTATTTGAATGCTTCTAGTGAAAGCTAGAGTGACATTTGACATTCTTTTGCTAAGCTGATTCGATATCACTCTGATCACTAGCAAAACGGTAGCGACTCATTTGAGAGAGAGCTGGTCATTACTATTAGCAGGTTATTACATGTTTGTGTGTCTAATGTAAGAACATTAAAGTTTTATTTCAAATGCATAAAAGAAAACATTAAGTTTCATGAAATCTTCTCGTTGTTAATTTAATACTTCTGCGCGAAGAGTTCAAACTAAATGGACCAAATTGTTAGACGAATGAACTGTCACCAAATGAGGTAGACTAGAACTTGGCAGCGGCTAGCTGTGAGTGGCGCCCTACAAGGCGCCGACGAACGACTAGATGTTGATGTGGGTGGAGGTTCTCAGAGATATTGTGCAAACGGGGTTAGAATCGACAGACGAATTGTCAAACCGTCTTGTCCAGCTGGTTAAAATCACGTCGGAAAGTGGTTAGAAACTGAAGAAAACGTACGAAAATTATCTGGAAGAATAACGAAGTTATGAGCACAACTAATGGATCCCAATTAAAAGCGTTAACTGCAGACTTTGGAGATTGTGTCTAAACGTTTGAGGATTGCCTAAAATAAAAGGTAGGCTATTCTCTGTAGAGTTTTGTATTTCAAACAATACAT